TTGTATTTAGTTAGATATTCGTTTTTTGCATTATAATTGGGCTTTGTGATTTTTGTTATGGCACTGAGCGAGTCAGACATGATGAAGAGTGCTTTATAAAGGTAAGTAGATTTAGTAAAAAGTTAAATGATTTATATGTCTATATAAAGTTATAAAGTCTATATGCAACCAAATATCAGATTTAGTTAAGTTGGTTGCCTATATCAGAATTGTCGCTGGATTTTTAGGGGATCTAAATAAATGTTATGTAGATGGCGGAATTGTGCTGAGGCACTAATCAAGCCTGCCTGAGCTATTTTTAAAACCTTATTAATAAGTTTTGTTAATGCGTCGTTGCAGTAATAATATCAAAGTGGGACTTTTTGATGTGGAGCATAATACATTAGGGTTTCCCTTTTTTCCCAAGTTGGCTTTTTTACCATCTAGAGTAGAAATTTGCCAAGTGAGCCCATGATTTTCGACGTTGTCATGAAAATTAAAAATAAATATTAAATCATAACCTACTAAGTAGTAGAAAGTTATCACATACAATTTTTTAAAAAAACTTTTTTCGTTTCTTTACAATGTGTGATTAAAAAAAATTGTAGCATTTGATTTAAAAATTAGTTTCTTGTAAACTATTTATAAAAAATTAATGAAAATTTGTGAGAATGGTAAAAAATAAATGCAGTTAACAATAAAATTTTCAAAAACGTGCTATTCTTTTTTTTGGCAACTTTTTTATTCTTTTTTAATATAAAAATGGCAATTTGGCCTTGTTCTCCCTTAGAAAATTGAAAAAAATAATAGGTAAAAAAGGCTCTGAAACCTAAAGATTAAGGAACCGTTTAAACATTTTTGTTATCGCCCCCTGAGTAAATGATAAATAATATTGTAAGAGGCAAGTTAACAGGCGCATCTTTGCGTTCTATTAGGTACGGTATATTTACTATATATATCGTTTATAATTAACATAAACATTTAAAATAACAATTGCCAATTTATTTTTTTAAGACGCAGGATAAAAATAAAAAAAGAATAAAATAGATTTATTACTTTAAAAAATTGCAAAATTAACAATAGTGAACACATTAGAATAAATATAAACATTAAGATGTAAACATACCTAACATATAACTAAGCCTCCTATTTTCCCGTAATTACATTTTTAACAAAAACTGTGTCATTCGAGAAAAGTTTACACAAAATATTTGTTTCATCTATAGTTTCATAGCAATGGTATTGTCTGGTATTTTTTATTGTTCTCGCTTTTTCAAAGCGTACCTTTAACGAACTCTCGTGACGTTTATGTTCATTTTGAGAGCAAAAATTAAAATATATTTTTGAAAAATGCTTTTCAGCCCATTGGAAAAGGCTTCGAGGATTAGTAATGTAGTTATTATCTATTCTTTGCAAACTAGCTCGAAATTAAATTTATTTTTATACTGCGACGCGGCTCCATCCGAAAAGTAAAAGATTTTTTTTATATTTTTATCCCCAAATTTTTTTTTCAAGTAATCAATAACTCTTAAATTAAATAAATGAACCGACCATGCATCGTGAGTCAATTTTTCAGAAATAATGACGAAGCTATCGTGCTTTTGCACTCCGTTATGGCGATAATAAATTACATACGGATGGAGAGTAGCCTGAGTATTGGACCAATGATGGACCTGAATGGCATTTTGCACATGCAATGTGTAATTTTCTGCAAAATCCATGCTTATAACGAATTCCCCTTCCTTAACGTTATTCTTAATTTGGCTAAAATAGGAAGCTTGAGACACTGCAAGAAAATCGTCTCTCATTAAGATCGGTAAGTCGTTGGCTAAATTATACAGGGTTCCCCATAATAGGCTACCCATTTTAATATTTGAATTAAAAATTTTTTAGTTAACAAAACAAACTTTTTATTATACTAAATTACAGCTAACTCTTTGGGATTTATAATAACTTATAAATATTTGGCTAATTTAATTCTAACTTTTAAAAATCACGTCTTCTAAATGACCTCCACCAACTTCAACACATTTTTCAATATTAGATAAAAAGTGGTAAAGTCGTAAACGCAATTCTAACTCGTTCAATATTTTCTGGTGTACGAACTGTTCTTCGACGTCCAGGCTTCTTCAAATTTTGTACAGAACCATTTTCACGCCAATGACGAACCCATAACTTAACAGTTTTACGATTTTGCGCGTGACCTATAATAATTGTTGTTATAAAACTGACGCCGGAATGCACGCCTAACTTCTTCTATCGAATTGCTTCTTATATATATTATATATTATGTAAGTTTCTACACAAAACACACGTTGTTGGACTGAGTAATCCATGAAAGTTCAAACGGATGTTGAAATAATGTCTCAAAGCAAAAAAATTAAATAATTTAAATAATTATTGATGAAAACTAACAAACTTTTCGTAGAATGACGTTCCAGAAAATTATTAATTTAAACTTATTTGTGACAGGCGCCTACTTGATTAATAATTAACTTAAATCCCAAAGACTATAGAAGATATTCCCATAGAGAACAACTTATTTAGTTATTTCGTAGGGAATTTATTAATTAAATAAAACGGGTAGTCTATTATGGGGAACCCTGTACAAAAACATGCAAAAACATAAAATTCAAGAGAGATCGTTGGGGCACGTTTTGATAACAATAAAAAATACCTTTTATATAAAATCGGTGATATAGTTATTAAAAATGTCTTCTAATAGTGTCGCTTCTAAATTTTTTTTTTAAATATGGGCGGTAAAACAATTTTGATAGCGCAAAATTTAATAAGGCAAAATGTTGTGTTTTGAGTCACAAGAGAGTAAAAATACACAGTTTGGTTAAAAATGTAATAACGAAAAAAAGTAAGAATTAAGTTTAAATTAAGAATGTTTAAGGACAATTTTAATATTTTTTTGCTAAGGGAACGACATTTGATTAAATATTTAGATGCGCCTGTTAACTTGTCTCTTAAACGGTGGCCTGTCAACGTGGCGCAACTCTAAACAATATTATTTATCATTGACTCTTGGAGCGATCACAAAAATGTTTAAACGGTTCCTTAATCTTAAGGTTTCAGAGATTTTTTTACCTATTATTTTTTTCAATTTTCTGAGGGAGAACAAGGCCAAATTGCCATTTTTATATTAAAAAAGAATAAAAAAGTTGCCAAAAAAAAATAATAGCACGTTATTGAAAATTTTATTGTTAACTGCATTTATTTTTTACCATTCTCACAAATTTTCATTAATTTTTTATAAATAGTTTACAAGAAACTAATTTTTAAATCAAATGCTACAATTTTTTTAATCACACATTGTAAAGAAACGAATGAAGTTTTTTCAAAAAATTTTATGTGATAACTTTCTACTACTTAGTAGATTATGATTTAATATTTATTTTTAATTTTCATGACAACGTCGAAAATCATGGGCTCACTTGGCAAATTTCTACTCTCTAATTATTTGTTTAGTCAAAATTATACTTGTTGTAGGAAATTGTACGCTCTGTTACATCCCAATAAACAATTTATACTACTAATTGTAACGATAAGTTATATAAAGGTTATGTAAATGTTGTCAGAGTATATAAGAGTACAACAAGGTTTTATAAAATCGCCATTTAGTTTACGAGTTTTATAATGGTCATATAAGGTTACTGTAACCTCTAGGTATATAATAAGGTTATATAATTGTTTTTACAAACTTTTTATATAACATATAGTATCCGTTACCAGTGGGTTTATATAACAGTTTGCGGTTACCTGTTTTATAAAACTATTTTTTATTAATTATTTGTAAGTATCAGCTTTCGATGCAACGCTTTTTCATAATTCGAATTGATCATATCGATGACTTTCTGCCAAAGTATCGTAAGCAACATAGGTAACTAAAATTTCGGGAATCGAAAACATTTTTTGTCTTAAAGTCTGTTTAAAATTAAATATAGCCTAAAGGTTTTTTAACAAGTAAATAGCTTATAATTATAGCTATAGCTAAATATATTTACTTGTTATAAAACCTATAGGTTATATATTATATATATATATATATATATATATTATATATATGTTATAAAACCTATAGGTTATATATGGTTTAAAACAGACTTTAAAATAAAAAATGTTTTCAATTCCCGAAATTTAGAGTTATGTTGCTTGCGATACTTTGGCAAAAAGTCATCGATATGATCATAAAAGAAAATATTTAGCATATAATATATAAAATAATATTATTAACATAAATATTTTAAAATTTGGTTAAATCAAGTGAAATATTTAGCGAAAGAAATTGATTCTATGTCAAAAATGGCGAACCTGACAACACTTTATATAAGAGTTTCAAAATTATATAATAACACTTTAAGTAACCTAGATACCTACTATAAAACTTAACTATTACCTTCGGCTATATAAAATTAGGTACTAAAGTACTATGAGAGGGCTCAAGGTTGATGCATTATTTCCGCAATGATTGTTTTTTTATAAGTATAAAATAAATGTAAATTGAACTTTATTACAAAAACAACTTAATTGACCAAACAAACGTACAAAATTCAATAATTTGTTTAATGTAAGTAAAAGAAAGATACTCAATCCTTAAAAAAATTATGTATGTTTTGGTATTTTGATGTCCCTTACTGTTTTTCGAAGTATTGTGTACATATTTAGAATTAAAATGGCTTTGCCCCTTTAGTCGTATTGAGTATATAAATTATATATTTATTATATTTCTACCATTAATATTTTTGCATTACTTGGCTTCTCGAGATATTTACGTGGTTTAATGTATAAGATGACAATAAGAACGCCTGAGGAAGAGAGAAATATTAAAAGAAGGAAAAAAGCAGGTAACAGTTCTTTAGGAAGTTATATAGTTATAAAACCTTTTAGTGTTACTAAACATAAGTAACGATAACCTTCATAAACTCCCCAAATAAGCTCTTTAAGGGGTATATAAGAGTTATATAAATATTTCTGTAACGAAATTAAGAAATTTAGGTTTTATAATTTGGGTAATACAACATTTATGGCAAACACTATAAAAACAAATATGTTTATAGGGGTCGTACGAACTCGTACGAACAAGCTTTCTAATCATTTTATTAAAACACATAAACATTTCAAAAAAATATAAAACACAAAATTTTACTGAATTGAATGTGACATAACACTTCTTCTACTCATATTAGTTGTACTGTTACTAGTTGTAGTCATCGCCATAGCTGCTCCAGTTGCAGCTTCGCCTCCGGGCACTATCACCAGAGGCAGCTGATAAATTTCTTCGATATGTTTTTGAAGGATCGGATTACGGAGAAGGCCCTTTCCGTTGCCAAGGATACGAGTTATTTTGGCTTCGTACAGGAGGCTGCTGGGCATCATACTAAAAAGTGAAAGTTTTTGTTGGTCAAAAAGAACTTCATTTGGAGAAGATAGTTTTTGCATAGCAAAGAAAATACCAAAATGCAGTAGAATTTGGGTCAAATGATTTTACAAGGAAGATATAAAAAATATGGTTTAATTATCAATTTGTCAGTACCCACCCTGGTAGAAAATAACGTTTGCATACATTCAGACAACGTTGCAAATTTGTATAATAATTAGTTATACTCATAACGTTGTCTTAGTGTATCATTTTAAGTGGAAAATACGTAGTTAAAACGTTGTCTTGGAAACGTTATTTTAATGTATGATTTTAAGTGGGAAATACGTAGTTAAAACGTTGTCTTGGAAACGTTGCAGAATTGTATTGCTGGAAACGTTGCAGCAACGTTCCAAATCCCACGTTTAGATACATAAAATTATTTCTAAGTCCCGACGAAAATCTTTCAATGAGGATTTTTTTTTTAAATTTTTATACTTTATTATACATTATTTATAAAAGTAAAATAAAACTCTTCAATTCATTTTCAAAGTCATAATATCAAAAATATGAGCGAAATACACAAAACCCACTTTCAAACAACGTTGCAGAATTGTATTGCTGGAAACGTTGCAACAACGTTCCAAAACCCACGTTTGGCTACATAAAATTTTTTCAAAGTCCCGACGAAAATTTTTTTACTGAGGATTTTTTTTCAATTTTTTTTTATTATACATTACTTATAAAAGTAAAATAAAACCCTTCAACACATTTTCAAAGTCATAATATCAAAAATATGAGCGAAATACACAAAACCCACTTTCAAACAACGTTGCAGAATTGTATTGCTGGAAACGTTGCAACAACGTTCCAAAACCCACGTTTGGCTACATAAAAATTTTTCAAAGTCCCGACGTAAATTTTTTTACTGAGGATTTTTTTTTCAATTTTTTTTATTATACATTACTTATAAAAGTAAAATAAAACCCTTCAACACATTTTCAAAGTCATAATATCAAAAATATGAGCGAAATACACAAAACCCACTTTCAAACAACGTTGCAGAATTGTATTGCTGGAAACGTTGCAACAACGTTCCAAAACCCACGTTTGGCTACATAAAATTTTTTCAAAGTCCCGACGAAAATTTTTTTACTGAGGATTTTTTTTTCAATTTTTTTTATTATACATTACTTATAAAAGTAAAATAAAACCCTTCAACACATTTTTAAAGTCATATTATCAAAAATATGACCGAAATACACAAAACCCACTTTCAAACTACGTTGTAAAATTGTATGCTAGAAAAGTTGCAACAACGTTCCAAAACACACATTTAGCAACATAAAATTATTTTAAGTCCCGCCGGCAAATTTTTTAATTTGTTTTTTTTTTATTTTTTATAATAAATTATTTATAAAAGTAAAATCAAACTCTGCAATACATTTTTTAAAGTTATAATATCAAAAATACGATCGAAATACACAAAACCCACTTTCAAACTACGTTGTAAAATTGTATGCTAGAAACGTTGCAACAACGTTTCAAAACACACATTTAGCAACATAAAATTATTTTAAATCCCGTCGAGAAAATTTTTAATGTGGATTTTTTAAAATTTTTTATCCTTTGTAACATTAGTTATAAAAGTAAAATCAAACTATGCAATACAATTTTTAAAGTCATAATATCAAAATTACGACCGAAATACACAAAACCCACTTTCAAACTACGTTGTAGATTTGTATGCTAGAAACGTTGCAACAACGTTCCAAAACACACATTTAGCAACATAAAATTATTCTAAGTACCGTCGGCAAATTTTTTATTGTGGATTTTTTTTATTTTTTATAATAAATTATTTATAAAAGTAAAATCAAACTCTGCAATACATTTTTTAAAGATATAATATCAAAAATACGATCGAAATACACAAAACCCACTTTCAAACTACGTTGTAAAATTGTATGCTAGAAACGTTGCAGCAACGTTCCAAAACACACATTTAGCAACATAAAATTATTTTAAGTCCCGTCGAGAAAATTTTTAATGTGGATTTTTTTAAAATGTTTAGTCTTTGTAACATTAGTTATAAAAGTAAAATCAAATTTAACTATGCAATTTAATTTTTAAAGTCATAGTTTTAAAAATAAGGCCGAAATACACAAAACCTACTTTTAGATACCTAAAATTATTATAGTTTCAATAAAGGTTTACTATCGTAGTTAGGTGATGGAACAACAGAGGTTACACCATAGTATTATCACAAAATTCTGTGGTATTATTTCTATGGGTTACACGTGTAACCCATAGAAATAATACCACAGAACGGAACAAACGAAGAAAAACTCAAATTTACCGCTCTATCACGAAGTGTTTATTTCTTTATTTTAGGTTAAGTGTTGACATCGTGCGAAATTTTGTGCAAATTCTTCCGTGTTTTTTGGAAAAATAATTAAAAGATAAGGTAATTTTTATCTGATAGGGATGGCAAATAACTTTTAGTAACCTAAACAATCACCACAAACAATTTGTTAGTGTTTTTTTTAAACAGTTGCTTTTTGCATGGATTTTTAGGGTTATTTGGACGATGCCTTATGTAAAATAAGTTTTGTTCTGTGACGATGCCTTAAAAGCATAAACATGTTCCTGGAACAGTGTATCAAAGAAATTATCACCCAGAAAATATTGAATTGGCCGTGGCAGAGGTGATAAACAATCGTCTATCCTTTGGGTAGATTGCAAGTGTAATGATTACATCTGCCACAGATGATCTGCGGATAATGGATAATCTTTTGCAAGACAAGAGACAAAAGAGTGCAGTCATATCTAAACCACAAAGCAGTGATAATTAGTTGTTTTAAAGAAAACCTTCCTGGCAATGACTGGCTAAATTCTTTCCGGAGGCAAAAATTGTGATTACTCAAAGGAATGCTAAAAATCTAAAAAGATCCAGATCAGAAGTTCATGATGATGTGATAAACCAATATTTTTTCAGAAGTAAAGGAAATAAGGGATGCTTTGCCAGCACCTGGTTACCCAGGGAAACAACAAAATGTTGTGAAAAAAGGAAACTCAGAATATTAAACTATTTTTCAACTTTTCTAATGTTTGCTGACACTGGAGGAGATCATTTACCATTGTGTGTTGGTTACCAGCCAAATCTATTAGATTTTTTTTAACAATCAAAGGTTCTTAATAATTTTTATATTAATAAATTATATCCATATGTAAATCAATTTTAGGTCACAATCTTTTGCATTTAATAAATAAATTTGTATACTATACAAAATCAATTTTAAAACTTTCAAGTGTATAAAAAAATATAGGCAAAAATACTATTTTTGCTTGTATTTTTTCCTTTTAATGCTTGTGCTCTAAATTTTTATTCAAAAGCAAAAGTCCTCACATTTTTTCTTATATATTCGTAATTGCTAAAATTTATTTTGCCAAGCATCAAAACCCTTAATGAAAATTAAAAATTTGTGACTTTAAACTCACCTTCATTGTTAATTGTTTTATTTAGACTTATATTTTAACTAGGTAACTACTTAAATTTCTTTGACTTTTTATTTTTGTTGCTAATTTATAATTTGTTTAATCCTTTATTTAGAAAATTTGTAATAATTGTTAATAGGCAATATTTCTTCTCTTTAAAATACCAGCATTGTTATTTTTTTCAGGCCATGTTTTAAGTTATGTTACTTATATTTGAATTTTTCTAGTTAATATTTAAATAGGATTTTTTAGATTTTTATTAATATTGATTTAAAAGTTGTAGTATCTTGTATCTAGAAAATTGTTAATACCTATATGAATATAGGCAATAGTTTTTCTTTTCAAAATACCATTGAAAATTTTTTGTCTAAGCTATTTTGTTATATTTTTATTTGTTTACTTTAAGTATATAATATTATATTAATAATATTTTTTAGATTTTGTTAATTGGGTATTTTTAATTAATTTTAATATTGATTTAAAAGTTGTAGTATCTTGTATAGAAAATTGTTATATATATAGGCAATATTTTTTCTTTTTAAAATACCATTGTAAATTTTTTGTTAAAGCTATTTTGTTATAATTTAATTTGTTTACTTTAAGTATAATATTATTAGATAATATTTTTTAGATTTTGTTAATTGGGAATTTTTTTTCCAAAGTATTTTTTTTGTACAATAAATTTTTGTTGTTTTTAAATATATATTAAATTTTCCAATAATAAAGAAAAATCCTACCCAAATTTATAAAAAAATCCAACGTTTTATGATACAATAATCCCACGTATTTCCAACGTTTTATAATACACAAAACCCACATATTTCCCACGTTGTATAATACACAAATCCCACGTATTTGCAACGTTTTATAATACATAAAAGCAACGTTGTATAATACACAAAACCCACGTATTTGCAACGTTTTATAATACGTAAATCCCACGTTTTTTATAACATTAAAAACTAACGTTGTCAGATAACGTTATAAACCGGGACATTTCAACATAAAATTATACATAAAAGTTAGGTTTTGCCAACGTGGGAAAAACGTTGTTTCTACGTAAAATTTCTACTAGGGCAGAAAACCAACGTTTGGGAAAGAAATTAATCAAGTTTAAGTTTGATTTACTATATTTTACATTTATTGGGGTTTATTTGGACATATAAATTGTATTTTCATCAAGTTTGATATATTTTATGCCAATAATTTCCCAACGCGATAGCACAAAAACTGCTTAAAAACAAAGTTATTTTTGGCCAAAACTTGGCAAACAATTGATCAGCATGGAAAAATAATCAGTTAACTATGCGCAATAGCGAGTTCTATACGTTGCGTCGCGTAAATCAATATTTCAAGACCCTTTTCTCTACAAAAATACGTCAAAATGAATCAAAAAGTTATTTAAAAAAATTATAATCATCCGTCCACTAACTAAACGTGTTTTAAGTTTTAAACGGCTTTAAATTTTGAGTATATAATTAAGGTTATGTTTTCAAGTTTTTCAATTATTGAACAATTTCTTACTTTTCGAAGATTGTTATTCCGTCGTTAATTTTGAAGTTATATAAATTTACATTGGTAGTTCTATATAATTTACTTATTTTTTGTTCATCGTTATAGATTTCCATCTTGTTTCTGGATAAATGTATTTTTCTACTTCCACCTTTAAAACGCCCTTTATCGTACATGTTTCCATGACACTAAGTGACCTTTTAAATACACATTGACAAGTTGTGGCTTTATGGCGCTTTAGTCACGGGCTGAAGTTAGCAACAGGTTTTTAGTCACGGGCTGTTTTAAGTTAGTTGACAGTTGTCAAATGTCATACAATCGTTAAAATAAATTGAATTTCTTGTAAAATAATACTAAATGTGAAAATTATTTTATTATCTCAATACAAAAATACAAAAGTATTAAATAGTTTCTCAACGCCAATATTTTAATTTTCAAGAAATACATTTCAATTTATAACCTTTATAATTGTGTTTATAAAATATAAAAATTTGACATTTGACGGTGACACACAGATCCCCCTATTGTTTCATAGATGGCGCTCTATACAAATTTTAGATTTAAATCATTTTAAGACAATAATAAGTATTTGTCTTAGAAAAAGTATAGTATGCACCTCGTTTATAAACTTTTATATACACTCATTAATTTAAGCACTCGCTCCCAAGCTCGCTCGTGCCTAAATTAAATTCGTGTATAAAATGGTGTTTATCAAACTTGATACATAATATACTATTATACGTACAAGGCATACTACAAGCATTTAGATAATTTAGAAATAAATGTTCTTCCTATATATCATAGAGAAAAACATATTGGTTTAAATATCTATTGTGCCTAAAGTGAGCATGGTAATAATTATTGTGATTTTTGTCTTTTTTTATTTTAAAAGTTCATAACATATAAAGTTACCAATCAAAAACAATTTTACAATAACTTCTTAATGTTTATTAAAACATATAATTGTTATTTATGCATAAATTTTATCCGAAATCACATTTAATAACACTAATAATTTATATTGATGATCAAATCAAATGTCATGTTTTTTTAATTAATAAAATTAACTTTTATTAAACAACATTTTAAATATTTTTTTAAATATTATTAACTAACTGCTGAGTAGCAGTAGACACATCTTGAAATGTATAATGGGTTGCATACAATACTCGTATTAAATCGGCAGTAAAGTTCTACTTTACTGCCGATTGTTGACTACGTTACTGCCGATTTCGGATAAAGGTATTTTTTCTAGAGAGTTTACATGAACACTCCTCCTCCTGGGGCTGTTTAGAGGTCCTTTGACGTGGCCTTAAAGAACACCAAGCAACGTGCCAGAAATCAAAGAGAAGCCTTATTTTACAAAAAAAAAATCCTTTAATTTTAATTAGAAAAAGCGTTTTATTTACACAATTTTCAAATACTCTTAACAGCCCAACTAGCAAAATAAATCCCTTAAAGAACTGAATTGTTTTATAACTATCGTCTAGAGCTGCAAAAAGAACATTTTTATTGTTTAATGCGTCTTAATACAATAATTTTATCGTAAAAACGACGAAATTCTAATACATTATTGTATATATATTCTTACAACTCGTGTTATAGAACCAAACTCATACACATTTTTTAACCATTGTATAACGTTTTATACAATCCCTTATAAAATTATTTTAAAAGAGTTGTATAAAAGTTATAATAGAGTTGTATACCTATTCTTATACTTGTAGTTTCAACGTTTTATGATAGTTGTAATAGAATTTGTATAAAAGTTGTATTGAAGCTCTATAAGATACATTAAAAAATTGTTTTTTTAAGCAGAAGTAAACACACTACACAATAAGTATAAAGTTATTTTATAATTATCCTATAACTACACCGATTAACTTCTTTATAGAAAGTTTATAAAATAAAATTATCGCAAGTTCTGCGTTATAATTTTATTACTTAAGTCTGTTTATCGCCAAAATAAGTTAAGTATTTTTTTAAAATGGAGTCGCAATGGAAAAAAATTAAGAAAAGTGGGCATTTAAAAAAAAATAAAAATAGGTTAGGTCACATGTAGATAAAGAAGGTACCGCTAAAAAGTGGATAAAACAGAACACAATTGTATAGTGCGGTACAATGCATACCTTAAGCGATATTATTGTTCTATTGCGCAGTAGGCAAAGGCGTTATAGCCAATACGAAAAATGAACTTACAGGGTTGTTATTTTAGGCAGCAGTGTTACCTACAAATCCTTATTTGCATAAAAAATGAAGGTAACGTCGTGCAGGATAAATAAAATTTTACTTGATGTACCTAACTGCACCAAAAATGAGTATTTTATTCTAAAAAAAAACAAATAATTTGAAAAATACAGATAAAATCTGGTAACATCTCAAATGTCAGTTTCTTGCTTTACTTTTATAGCGCCTGTATTAAACAACTTTACAGAACCTAAATATCGTATAACGCACGCGACAGTGCAGATAAATTGTATAACGTTTTTATAAAGACAAAACCATTTTATAACAAAAACGCCATATTTATTGACCGATCAATTGTTTATAAATCGCCGCCATTGTGTGAATTTTACCAACAAACGTTAAAACTGTCAATTAAAAATGAATTTTCTTGAAAAAAATTAATGTAATCTTAAGACTAGTCAATTATAAACTGAACAAATAAAACAATAATATTCTTAAAAAACATGAAACTTTGTCAAATAAAAAATTAATTTTTTTTTTAAATAATTTTTAGTAGGTAGGTATGTTTGTTAACTGGCGCTTTAATTTTTCGTTAAAAATATATACATATATTGTCAGAAAAGATTGCTCCGCAGGAAGATGTTGTCCTCGATAGCGTAAATCTCAAAGGTTTAATAATTATATTTACATAATAAACAACAAGCACCATTTTGGATCTTAGCCGTTTGACATCCAACATAATTCGCATTATAAAATAGTCTTAGGATAAAAATTTCCCACTCCATTCCTAATTTCTAGAGAAGGAAACAAATTGATGTTCTTATAACGATTCTGTCGCATTATAACATACTTATAAAATGCTTGTTTTAATATTCTATAAATATTCGTAAAGTGCAATTAAGCTGCAGAGTAAAACCGCTATAGTATAATCGTATAGCAGTTCCCCAGTATACTGATACTGAGTTTTATAAGGGTTGTGTAGTGTATTTATATAACTGCTAACGAAGTAAACTGTTTTATAAAACGGGGCCCTTTTTGGTTGAGTAAGTGTTGTATAGTAGTTTTTAAACGCATTATACAATTTTAGCGTTTCTATAATATGTGTTGTATAGCAGTTCTAACAACACTTACATAATCAATTTTGTTAGCTGGGAGATTAAATGTAAACGAGAAAAAGTTAAAAAAAAATGTTTTTTAGTAATATTCTTTCAAATATAATTATAATATTTGCAAATTCCCTGGATTTGTATAATTATTTACCAATATTGCATTGGTCAATTTTTGAAAAGCCTAATATTTGCCAAAAAAACATTTTATTTTACAAAAAAAAATTTCCTTTAATTTTAATTATAAAAAGCGTTTTATTTACCCAATTTTCAAATACTCTTAATAGATTAAATGTAAACGAGAAAAAGTTTTAAATTGTTTTTTTTTTTTGTAATATTCTTTCAAATATAATAATAATATTTGCAAATTCCCTGGATTTGTATAATTACACTGTGCAACACAAAAAATGAACTGGGATCAAATCTGAAAAAATCGAATCTAGGCAACCCCCAAAACAAATCCTTTAAGGGGTTTTACCAGTTTAGCTCGAATAATGGAGATATACATATATATATGTACAGGGTGTTTCTTTTAACTTGAGACAGCTCAATATCTCGAGAAATACGCATTTAACGGAAAAATGTCTTAAATAAAAGGTTAATGTGACTAAAGGGGACATTATTTGGTGCTACCGCTAGCCACCCCCTACCCCTCCTTAAGGGTGAAGGGGGGTAACTTTGGAAAGTCAAATGGAATGACCCGATTTTTTTCACAGAGTTTGGTAGTACATAAAAAAATAAATAACTTTTATTTAAAACTTTTTTTAATTTATCAACAGATGGCGCTGTAATTCAAAATTTAAGAAAAATGAGTTTCCTTGTAAAATGTATTATTTGAAAAGTTTGAAAAACAAAAATTAACATTAACAACAATAGTCGGCTATGAAAACAATTTATAACACATGTTCGAAATGTCGTCATTCCATTTCGACACCAAGTGGAGTACCAGCGTCCCTGGTCGGTAAACGTTTGGTGCGGTACCTTTATCTGTTGATAAATTGAAAAAACTTTCAAATAAAAGTTATTCATTTTTTTATGTACTGTCAAAAAACTCTGTGAAAAAAATCGGGTCATTCCATTTGACTTTCCAAAGTTACCCCCCGTTTCACCCTTAAGGAGGGGTAGGGGGTGGCTAGCGGTAGCACCAAATAATGTCCCCTTTGGTCACATTAACCTTTTATTTAAGACATTTTTCCGTGAAATGCGTATTTCTCGAGATATTGAGCTGTCTCAAGTTAAAAGAAACACCCTGTATATCTCCATTATTCGAGCTAAACTAGCAAAACCCCTTTAAAGATTAGTTTTGGGGGTTGCATAGATTCGATTTTTCCACATTTCATCCCAGTTCAAATTGTAAGGTCAAAATTTGTCGCACAGTGTTATTTACCAATATTGCATTGGTCAATTTTTGAAAAGCCTAATATTTGCCAAAAAAACATCGTTTTCCATGCCCAAAATTAAACCAACGGTAACCTACCTAACTTAACCCAAACTGCTTTTGCATGTTATTGAGCACCACAATTTGATCATTTATCGTTGGCCATCGCGATTGCACAAAAATCATAAGAAAATTAAGTCCTATATTGTAAATTTATTGGCAAAACTTTTCCAAAGATAAAAGGGCAATTATTTGCCAAGTTTTAACCTGATATGGTTCTCTTCTTAAAATGTTGTGACTATCTTGGTCCAAACTAAAATTAACTACTTACTCGTGAAGGTTTTCAACCATTCCCTTGCACAGCGCTGAAAAAACTTGCCCCAGACGAAGATTATCCTGTGAAATATTATTAATACTACCCCTTATTGTTGGATCGTATCTTTCTCCTAAACATGTCGGACGGATTTCAAGATTGGACTGCGCACTTTCATCGTTACCAAGCGATAAAACCTTATCCCAAACCTTAGCTAAAAACAATGCAAGTCCAGATTAACAACTCCCCTGAAAAATCTATCTTACTCACATTGCGGCACGGAGTATCCCAACTCCAGCGCCCACTGCTGCAACATCTTCACGAAAGACGTCAAAGAGTTGCCGCCGTTCAGAGAGGCGGCGACGGCGACGTACTGGCCGTTAAAGTAAGGGTAGTACTCGAGCGGTCCGAATTTCGGCGGACCGGAAGTGGGGCTGAACTTGCTGGCAACGTAGCAGATTTGAGCGGAAGTCGAAATGTTCAGGATGGCGTCTTTTTGATGCTCGATGGAAGACAGAACGCTGCATTGTATGTCTCCCAAGGCGACACCTGTCAAAAATGTTTTAAAATAAAAAGCTGAGCGAGTTTTTAAAATATGTGAACCTCTTTAAGCTCTTGAAACGTTTGTAATGCTACCACTTATTGACTTATCTGTGTAAAGGATTGTTCTACAGGAAAGACGCATCATTTCAAGGGATGTGACGTTTATATTGACGTATGAGCTTGTCAATGTATATTTGTCAATGTATATTTTTTTCCTCTTAGTAATCCGTAATACGCTATCATCGGCTGTTATCATCGTAACAAAAGTACGACTTTTAATAATCAGCTGTAAAACGCTTATGTTACAAACGAGTGTTTTTGAGAATAAAGCCCAAACGATTTGTTGTGATGTTGGGTGTATTTCGAGAGGAAATCCTGGGTTGAGTTTTTACCGGTTTTCCAATAAACAGTGTTAATCTGAATGAAGAAATAAATTGCCTACAGTCTCTGTAAATATAAATTGTACCATTAGATACAATAAATACACATGTTAGTAGTGATTAACGTGAAAAGTGTAAACATTTCAATTCAGTAAAAATCGTCAAACAAATAAGTCGTCTAAATAGCATTGGCATTATTAAAAGCGTTGATTAAGAAAGTCTCCATTCAACGGTAAAATACCATTATATTATGTATTATATATAATATTATGTTGCCATGAATTCGTAGGAATATTTTGTGGTTTAAAATGCAATTGTCGGCGTTTTTTAGAGAAATCAAATAAAAATATTATTGATTTTAAGGTTATGTTTGTGCAAAAATTATGTTTTACTAATTTCTTAAAAATGTCCAAACTTAAATATAAATTATTTTAGGTAAAGTTATCATTAGTTAATTCTGCACCAAAAATGTACTTACCGAATTGGATCCTTTGGCAAAACATGAAAATGCAACGATTTAGTTCTTGAATTTTATTTACAATTAAAAACACAATAATTCACCATGATCCCTTTGATAAAATACACACACTAATGTAACTATATAAGCATTTAAGCGTAGAGTTTCTTAATCAATGATATAAGGAATAATTAGAGTTGGGGATGGTCAATTGACCGCGGTCAATTGACCAGTCAATTGACCGCTACCTATTTGACCGGTCAAAATATATTTAATTTTTGCAGTATTTTATTTAGGTATTAACAATTACCCGTGAATCTCAAAATTTTTGCGATCGTGCAATAACGACATTATTTAAAATTTGGTGGTTTCCCGAGTCGAGGGGTTGCTAGGCCGGACTCGGCGCTTTGCCCTTAAAGCGGGACATATATTTTTTAATAGCAAAACAACTTTTTAAAGCCGCACAAACGTTTCTAAAGATGGACATAACTTTAATAATAAAAAAAAATTGGTAACGTATTTTAATTTCCTATTTATTAAGCACAAATAAATCACAGTAATATTTATTTTGATATTTTATTTAATTTTATTTTGGTCAATTGACCGGTCAATTGACCAAAAACAATTTGACCGGTCAATTCCACAACCCTAGGAATAATCAATCGAAATCGAGTACTAAAAAAGTTTTTTAATTTTTTCCTTGCAACGTAAAACACAAATAACGTGCGCGATTTAGCTGTGCAATTGAACAAAATTTGTCGAGTAAGACTTCTGCCTTCCTGTCTTTTGTGAAAAAACTACCTATTTATTTAAAAATGATGTATAATCTGTGCTTTAAATGTATTGTTGACAATTTTTAAATTCACGCAATGCTATCGAAGTCCACCAGATGGCGCGCGCGTTGGTTAAAAAATGTGTCAACAACTGAACTTTTGATATAGAAATTTTATCGAAAATTGCATTTTTACTACCACAATATCAAAAAAAGGAAATTCCATGCAATAATAGTTTATCTTGTTTTTTAAATTAAGAAGTTTTAAAATGGTTCCAGTAAAAACAATTATTACCTATTGGTGTTCCAGCGGGAATGGAATGCCAATTTTCGATCAAGTACCCAGCACAGGCGCCGGCTGGCTCGACGCTTGGCAGGAATTTCAATGGAAAACCCATTACTTCCAAGAGTTCCGTGTTCCAATCAGACAAAGCGCAATCGTAGTAGCCCCAGGACGCGGCATTTTGATCGGACATGACGGGAGAATCCAGGTTACACAACATGGCAACCACAAAATCGCCGATGGTGCCGGCGCAGTTATATGGTTTTAGGAACTCAGGTCTGAAAAACATCATTCATTAATTTGTTTTAACTATTCCTAAATTTTGACACATCCTCATCTTAGGAAACTATAGAGTCAATCCAAATGAAAACACCAAAAATGAATTTAAAAGTGCGCTGCATGATTTTTTATTTTAATGAAAAAATTTGAGGATGATCTTTTAGGTATCATATATGAAAAACCGTTGCCGTTTTAATTTTTAGTTGCTTTATTTTTAATTGACACCCTTTAGAAACCTGAAATCGTGTCATTTTCTTACTCTTTTATAAGAGGCTAAAACTTTTTTTCTGTGGCAATTATTGAAATGATTGTAATTTTATTTTACTGCCTAGTAAGTAGGTATGTTTTCAATATTAATTATTATTATCTAATTAGTTCATCTCATAAAAGAATGGTAAACCACTAAAGATTTGTAATAATTTGCCAATTTTTGTGATTTTTGTCTGGCTCCTGTGCCTAATCTGCTAAATCTAGAAAGTTGATTTTTTTCAGGTATCAAGTACTTATACAATAGAAAACGTAACTATTAATTTAAGTTTCTAGACTATCATTTTCTTTATTAAAAAAATTATTGAAACTTGATAATTTTCAAAATTAGCCAATTTTGCCCTCAGAAATCATTATGTTGAAGAAAAAATAAAAATCTGAAACTTTCAGGAAATGTAGTCCCCACCTTCATCTTTTCAAACTAGTTAGTCTTGTTTTGTTATTTTTATCCATGTAAAAGATATAATAATTTTTTTAATGCAGTTATAAAAAGCGATATTGTTAGTTTTATTTGTAATTTAAAATTTAGATGGCTTTGACTTAGTCAATTCATGTTTGGTAGAGAAATGTCAGAACTGTCAAAAATATTTCATAAATATTATTTGTGCGTATTTAAATTGTGATTTCAAAAAGTTTGCAAGTTTGCAAGTGTAATAAATGACGGAGTGTTCGAGATTCATGAATTTTATTGCAATTAAAAATGCAAGAACATATCATAATTTTGTGCCTCTTTCTCATAGAAAATATTCAAGTTCTGAGAAGTTTTAAATTGTTAAAAAATAAGCAAAAACCAAAAAATATTCTAAATAAACCCCTTTATTATAACATGTTTTATTTTAACCAGTTACCTAAAAACTAAAATTTAAAGAAGTATTTACAGATTGTGTAATTTTTTTTCCAACACTAACATTTAAAATACATACATATAACTTTTAACCATTCAGTGCCTTACTAAAGGGATCAAAATAATAGAACAAGACTAACTTGGTTTAAATTGTGAAAGAAACCGACAAAAAACTGCTTAACGCATTTTTATACGTTTAAATGAACTCTTTATTAATTTCAATTATACTACTTTACGATATAAACCACACTGAGAAAATTCCAATCTTAAATTATCTTAATGAAATTATCTACATAGTGTTCAAAATATATCTAATAACCAGTACAAATTATCTATCTGTGACATAAAGACGAATTAAGGTGACTAATAGATACGTTTTAATAAAGTGTTAAAACAAAAAATATAGATCATCTATATTTATATTTTAACAATCATAAAATATCTAAATACCACCATAAACTCGGATTAATATGTCGCTGTTCTTAAAATTATTTTAATGTCAGTGATAAATAACTAAATATGGTTAATAGACGACCTTATTAAAACTTGTCTTAATAACCATTACTAGTCAATTGTGAACACATAACATAAGATTGTGAACCACCTTAAATTATCTAAAGACCTTAAGAAGTTGTATAATGGCCTTAACAAACTCATCTACCTAACTAACAGATTCGGCTTTCCGACTATACTCGAATCGACCAATCGTTTAACTAGCGTCCATAGCACAGAACAGCGTCCTCTGTGGAAGCGTCATTTATTATTTCTCACTTGTTAACGGGAAATTGAGGATAATATTGAATCGTTTATAGAAGAAAAAGGGCGTTTCTTCACAATTGTTTTGCGGTAATTTTACAGAACATAGTAATGGCTTTCAAAGTTACTCTGCTTGAATGGGGGCTCAGTGATTTTGTTAAAGGATTTGAAGGTAGGTTCAATTTCTTTCTATATAGTTTCCGGGGTCCCTGCATTAAACATTTAAAAAGTTCACCCTATATTTAATATGTTGATGATACTTTTATAAATGTAGTTGAAGTTTATTTTATAGGATATTGGTAAAATCTGAAATATATTTTTGGTAAAATGTTTACAATTTATTATTATTAGGTACCATATTTATAAATAAAACAGCTTGAGAAAGATTACCAAGATTTTTAATAGGTCAGAATATTGGCTTTGATTCCTTAATTTATTATTTAATTATACCTACATGTATAAAGTTATAATTTTAAGATGGCCTATCTGCTGAAATAGTTTAATTTTTTTAAAGCTCAATTGTTATCTTTCTTTTTAGGGTAAATGTAAATAATCCTTAAAAGTGTTATTAATTAATATTTCTACTAAAAGTACCCAGGTAGCACACTGACGTATGCTGACGTTAAAATGACGTTACCAAAGTCATTTCAACGTCATATAAACGTCAGTGTGCTACCTGGGTAAAGTCTTGAAAATGAAAATAAAGTCCCAACGCAGAAAATGCACTAATAAGGTCGTCTAGTAAAAATAATTTCGGTATAAATTTTATTTCCTAAAAAAATAAGGAAAGCATTAATTTATGCTAATTGCGATACCTATGTTTTTCTGATTTTTTTATAAACATTTAGGTTAGAGTGCTCCAATTGATGAAAATAATGGTGTTAATGATTTTTTTAAATAAAATAAAAATGAATGCCAAAATTATGTTCAAGTACTCGAAGACTAAAATGAAAATCCAACCTTTTAATGCATTTTTTCGCGTTGGGGCTTTATTTTATTTTCAAGACTTTACTTTTAATAGAAATAATGCTTTTAAGATTTATTTTCGTTTATTTATACCATGGTCCAGCTCCATTTATAATAAAATTAAACTATTGCCGTAAATAGGCCATCTTAATATGATAACTATAGCATATTATTATGGCAAATAAATATATTTAGGATCATATTAAGATAGCATAAGAGGATATTAGGATGGAATTAAGATGATCATAAAATAATATATTTACCATTATAAAATTATTTATTTGCCATATATGTACCAATTTGGGATCATATTAAGATGTCATAAGAAGATATTTAAGTGATATTAAGATGATCCTAAAATAATATATTAACCCTTATAAGATATATATTAATGGCCGATATAAAAACTTTTGATGGTCTTATGATAATTGTATTAAGTTTGCCTATTGATGGTCACAAAGTATAGTTATTAAATTGAATCTATTAATGGTATTTAAACGGTCTTAATGTCCCCTATTTTACTGCGATATCTTAAATAAGGTTATTAAGAATCTTAAAGATGGTCTTAAATTATTTTTCTCGGTGCATAAAGATCTTGAACATATTTTTTACATTCTTCTTCTTTAAACACCAATTAGCCAATTAAATACTTCATTATAATGTATATAATATATAATCATATATATATCTATATATATATGTATATATATTTACATGTACAATACATAAAATATAACATACTACCAAATATATCAAAACTGTCAAAAATATTTCATAATTATTATTTGTGGTATTCCTTTGGTGATTTTAAAAAGTTTTGTATATAACATAATATGACATATTATGTTATATACAAAATTTTCCAAAAAAATACGCACAAATAATATTTATGAAATATTTTTGACAGTTCTGACACTTCTCCACCAAACATGAAAGCCATGGCATCTAAATTTTAAATTATAAATAAAACTAACAATATCGCTACTAAACGGGAATTAAAAAAATTAATATATCTTTTAAAGGAACAAAAATAACAAAACAAGACTAACTGCACTGAAAAGATGAAGGTGGGGACTACATTTCCTGAAAGTTTCAGATTTTTATTTTTTCCTCAACATAATGATTTATTTCTGAGGGCAAAATTGACTAATTTTAAGAATTATCAAGTTTCAATTATTTTTTTAATAAAGAAAATGATAGTCTAGGAACTTAAAATAATGGTTACGTTTTCTATTGTATAAGTACTTGATACCTGAAAAAAAGCAACTTTCTAGATTTAGCAGAATAGGCACAGGAGCCAGACAAAAATCACAAAACTTGGCAAATTATCATGAATCTTTAGTGGTTTACCATTCTTTTATGAGATTAACTAATTGGATAATAATAATTTATATCGATAACACACTTACTGAACAGTAAAACAAAATTAAAATCATTTCAATATTTGTCACAGAAAAAAAGTTCTGGCCCACTATAAGAGAGTAAGAAATTGACATAATTTCAGATTTCTAAAGGGTGCCAATTAAAAGTAAAGAATCCAAAACCTAAAACAGCAACGGATTTTCATATTTGATACCTAAAAGATTATCCTTAATTTTTTTTATTAAAATAAAAAATCAAGCAGCGCACCCCATTTGGTGTTTTTATTTGGAATGACTCTATAATTAGCTAATATGGAAAACCAAAATAAATCTCCTCAACCTTTAAATGTTCTTAGAATCACTTAGAACATTCTTAACAATAAGAGCAACTTTCAAAGAATGGGATACAGTTTTTTAAGGTAACATCTTACTTGTTTTTCAGGAACCAACACAATGTAGGTATGCCATAACCAGAGGCGAGGTTGATATGGGAATTTGGTAATGGTAAAGACGACAAAAAGTCGGGATCGCATCTATTATCTTGCCACGTAAAAAGTGAAGACACGTTATCTGGTACAACATCGAATCGGAAGTTTTTGTCTTTGTCCTTTTCGATCATCGCCCACGACCGTTGCATGATGCTGTTGCCCCAGCACACCACACCGTGCATTTGGTTGCACAAACCAATTGCTGAGATCTAAAATCAATTATGAAAAATTGATTAGCGAAAAAAGAGTAGTAAAAACCTTTTAGCTGCATAATGCCGCATCTCCGATTAATAAATCTTAGGTTGTTCACTTACTTGGCTAAGAAGATGCTTGGGCAATTTGGAAACGCAAAAATTTAAAGCAGAGACAATTTTCGGGACATCCTGAATGTTGGCACCAGGGGTGATGTCATTGGGAATGTTGGATTGAGTTTCTTTAATGTATCTAGCCTCTACAGTGTTGTTCGTGGTATTTACTATGTTGGTTTTAACGGAAGTGGTTCCGATGTCAATGCCTAATACGTATTGCTCCATATCGTAGTTGGAGTAATCTAAGAAAAAAAGTAAGATTTTGTATAAGAACGATCTTAGTAAGACTAGACAATATTTGATGATAAACACTTCGTTTTTTATTTTAAACATTTATTTATTGTTTAAAATATGAAGGTATCAGTTGTTATCAGTTTATTTAACAAAATTTAAAATTAGATTAAAATTAAACAAATAATATAAATAACATTGTTTTTTATATAAAAGTCATATAATATGAAACGGTCGAAAAGTGAATAACAAAAAATCCTGTACTAGGATAAACGAGCCAAGTCTAAACTGATTATATATATATATGATTCATATAAAGATAAGAAGAACCTACATAATAAAAAGATGATTTAAGGTAGTTGTCGTGGTACAATATTGTCAAAAAATTTTAGATTATACGCACCGTAAAAGTATACGAGCTGGTAGCTAAGTGATTCATAATTTGTTCGCAAGACTGTACCCTGGAGACGTTATTTTTACGTAATACTTTCAAATATTTTCATAAGTTTTAATCCGGCAACGTCGCTTATGCTCAACCAATAGATATATTGGAGACTGAATCAGACGTTTGAATTTACTGCGGAAATTATATCTATACTCGCGTACAGCCTTGCCAAGTTGTTTTTATCTGACACTAGTGATGTATACTTTTTACAAATTGTTGAACTTTAAACGGTTATTTATAAACAATTGGACGGTCAAAAATTTTTAATTATTTTTTTTTAAACTCGGCAAAAATACATTAAAACAATGTTAGTTTTTTGAAAGCTTCTGACAGTTAGTTTTTTCTGTATAACTAAGAAACTGGTACAGAACTACAGAAAGCCTATACAATCCATATTAATTATCCAATTTTTAATTGAATTTATTTTGGGTTATAGACGGTCAATCGACTTCAAATTTTAAGGATATATGTATTGTCATGTCCTTAATAAGTATACAAAAATTCAAAATTTTCTGATGGTATGCTTATAGCACGACAACTACCTTAAAAGAAAGAATCACAGACATTTTAAAAACAGGAGTGTTTACTTAATTTTCTTAAGTATTTACAAAATTAAATAATAAAATATCCAAAATAATATAAATAAAATTCCATGTGTACTTATTTTTATATTAATAAAACGGTTTAATGAATTAATTATATTAAGAATTGCAATACTTTTTATACTTTTAAATCCAATTAATTTTTGTCAAAAAATTACAATACATTCGCGCTGGCAAATAAAGTAATTAATAGAAAAAAATAGGTTCAAGGGCCCAAAGGGGGGGGTAATTGCACAGTTTTTGTCTAAAAACTTTTAATATGGTGGAAATTTCCAATCGAATAAATATCTTAATTTCAATTTAAAGAGGGTCTATCGAGTTTTAAAGTTTGTATAAGAATGACTGATGATCCTTAAAAGGCATTAAATTATCTACAAAAAATTTCATTGAGTTAAGTTCCTATCTATAATATAATGTTAATTAATTTATCTACTCCTATTGCATAATATAGTTTTTTTTTCGTGATTTATGATAAACATTATAAATAACCTCGGGAGAAGGCGACTATAATAAAAAATTTCTACTCCTATTACATATTCTTGACATTATTTGTTTCTTTCGTATATAATGGTAACCAATATAACCGGCCTAACAACGGGAATATTGAACTCATTATTCACGTTGTTAGGCATCAGTGATTGGCTGATTTCAATATTCACTGTTATTTAAACCAATCGGGTTTTAAATTGGGAAAAAGTAAGGTTAACAGATCTCCGATTTGTTTATTTATACGAGGGGCGACTATAATGATCTTTAAAATCGGGAAAAAGTGAGGTTATAATAAATTTTGTTATCAATGAAAATTAATTGAAGTAGAAAAAGCATAGTATTACACTTAAAATAATGCGCATTGTTTACTCGGATGATTTACGTCTCTCACCTGACGGCTCGAGATGCAAACATCATCCTTGTGAATAATAGCCTGCATTATTTCTCGTATATACTATTAAAATTGGTAAAAAGTAAGGTTAACCATTTGACAGATGTCAGATTTTATTTCATTATTTTTAAAAATCATTTAATTATCTACTTATTGAAGTAGATAAAGTATAGTATTAAACTCGAGATTATGCGCATTATCTCTCGTATAATAATGTATTAATTTCACATAGAAACTAAACTATATTGATTGGAAAAAATAATGGGAAAAAGTACTACTTTTATGATTTTTTATTTTTGTTTTTTAGATCTAGAAACTAAACTATTGATGATGGGTCAAAAAGTTAAATAGCAATTTTTTAGTACTTTAATTCCTAACAAAATTGTTTTAAATAAATTCTTTGGACCATTATTAGTAAAAAGTTATATACTCATGAAGTCTTATTTTTGAATTTTTAGTTAATATTACGCGTTTTTTACATCTAGAAACCAAACTATTTATGATGGGTTTAATTACAACTTTTGATTACTTTTAACTTCCTACTTGAAATTGCCCCAAACAAATTTATAAGATCATTACGTATTAGTAAAAAAGTTATATAATTAGGAAGTAATTTTTTATGATTTTTTGGGGTTTTTAAGATCTAAGGCTATTCTGTACTAATTACATTTAATTTCCTACACTGAAAGAAATATATGTTTGTTTTAGCAATGTATGTGGTAGTCTATATATGAAACATAAAATATATTTACCTTAACCATTTTTATATTTAGTTTTAACATATTATGTTAAAACTAAATATAATATATGTTTGTTTTAGCAATGTATGTGGTAGTCCATATATGAACCACATACATTTGCTAAAACAAACATATATTTTTTTCAGTGTACAAAACTGTTATAAACAAATTTATTATTATTATTCTTACCAAATAATTCTTTGCAGTAGTTTAGGTTAGTACTACTCATCTCTACAAATAGGTTATTTAAAAATGACTAGTTTTCAAAGTGAAAAAACAGTCACTAATAACTGTAGTCCACAGCAATCTGTATCCCGGACATCTAACAGCCAATGTAAAATTGTCCTCTGAATCTGAAAAGACCGTTCAAAATTATGAAAGTAGAGCATTTTTTGAGATATTGTCAATTTTCTATTACATAAAAAAATCTCAAAAACTATTCTACTCTTCTAACTTTTGACGATATTTTCGGATTCAGAAGTAAATTTTACATAGGAATTGACTACTAAATTAAAAGTAAAATGGGTGACATCTTAATATGAACAATATTTCCAATAGCAATAAAAACAATAATATTAATAACAGTGACGTGTCCAGAAATTTTTTCTGGGGGGAGAAAGGGACGGGGGTTGAAAAATCTAAATTATTTTTTTCTTTATTTTTTTTGTTTAAAATTACTGAGGCTGGGGGGATTTGAACCTCTAAAACCCTCATAGGCACGCCACTCATTAATAATTGTACATAATACCAGTATGCAAGAGTTATTTTTTATACCATTTATATAACACCCAAAAAAATAGTATATAATTCGGAGTAAAAAATCGTTTTATGCTTCGTAAAGTTGCTGTCAATCTGTACTTACCACAAAAAGATTCACATCCACTCCTCATGACATAATCTACTATTTAGTTTCTAAAAATACTTGAATCATTAATATTTCTATTCATAGATTTTATTAACGTCAATAATTTCTAAACAATCATTATACAAAAACCGAGACCAAGATTTTAGCCGAGAGGCCGAGACTGAGACCGAGACCCCATAATACGAGACCCATATCATAAGAAATAATAAAAAATAAATTTTATTATTAATTATAATTAATATTAATTATTAATTGCAAAGTAGCCATTTTTAACAATACTTTAAATAAAACTATATTTTAACTTTTCTAGAGCAGCGTTTATCAATGCGTGTATCAATGTGTAGGTATAAAGGAATTTAAAAAAATATTATAATAAATATTTAAAAGTATTTTAACTATTGTTTACAAAAATGATAAAAAAATAAGTAATAAGTGTAATAAGCTATTACTAACAATAAAAGTCAATTCAAGTAGCGTGTAGAAAATTATTTTAATAACACAATTTAAGGTTCTTGTTTAAACAATAGAATATTTTAAGGAGAAATATAAGAATATACAGGGTGTCTACTTCAAAACGAGCATATAAGTCTGGACCTAAAAAAGATTAAAAATTTCTCAATTTCTAGTAGGTACATGTGAGGGAAGCAGTACTACCACAAAAATGACCTTCACTAAGCAACCCCAAGGCCACCCCAACTCAATTTTTTTCAATTACAACATCTAACATTTTAAAATTAATTTGACCATTCGAATTTTGGTCAATAAATAAGGGACCAATAATACAATCTAAAAAAAATGTATTGCATGTATCTAATTCATGAAATGCTGAGCAGTTGAAGCATCTTTTTTTTCCTCTACATTTTTTTTGTGTGCCTCAAACAATTGGCACATTGAGTAACAGGAGGGATGTATGGATTTATTGTATCTGGAAAATCAAAAATATATACATTTAGAGAAGAATAGTCCTCTCAAAAATTGTCTCTGAGGGAGTATATTCTATAACTTTTTTACCTTGTTCATCTTTAACTATTGTTTTGATAAACCTAAATATATCTACAATTTTTAAAGAAGACTTTGTATGATTTTTTAGTTCTTTAACCGTAATATCATAGGACTCTATTATAAGGGATGTATTTTGTTTTTAATTCCTCATTATTTAAAAATTTGTTTGCAGCCTCATAATTGTTAAACGTAACACTTACTCTATTTTTGCCTTTGGCGTTTATTTTAAATAAATCTTTGACATTAATTTATAGATGTCTCCAGCTAAAGAAAGATGATTATATTTATTAAGGGACCAATAATACAATCCATGAAAATTCCTGCCCATACATTAAGTTATATACTGGGTATGATTTTCTCTGATAAGCTGTTCCAATAGCGACAATTTTGTTTGATAACATTTTAATTTAGATAAAAAGTAGAATAATCGCATTTTTTTTTTTAGTATTTGGGTCTGATTTGTTATTTTATTAGTCA